CTTGATAAGCACTTTTAATATGTGAGAGGCTACTTCTCCAATATTATCTTTAACATAAAAGTATATTTTCATCCACATTTATTTCAGTTGTTATTTTTTCAATTCCTATAAAGTAATCCATTGGGATTGTAAGTGACATGGCTTAAATCTTTAAGTTGAATATTATTTTAAACTTCGTAATTTCAGCTCTTTGGTCAGCAAGTGTATCTTTCCATTTTTCACCACACGTCATATAATTACAGACTGAAGAGAGTTTAGATATAATTTGAGTTCTAGTTCTAGGCCACCCTCCCCTGTATTAGTGTCATTTTCCAGATGATCAAACCAAGGCCCAGAGACTGGTTTGTCCAAAACATCTGTATCTGCTTAGGAGAACACCTAGAAATTGAACCCATGGCATATCTCATGCTATTTTTTTTTTCTATCGAACCATTTATTTAAGTCTTCATTCACTGCCTTTAGAGCTTTAAAACTATATTTTATATATATTAGATATTCCAGTTGGTTAGTTTCTGAGAATTCTCTAGATTGAGGTCGAACAAAAATGAGCATCAATGTTGAACTTTGGGCAGATGGAAGCAGATAAAGTCTCTTCAGTGCAGAGAAATTGTGCAAAGCTTATTCCAGTCCCTCACTGTTTCCCAAACGGCTTTTTGGTAGGGAAAAGCAAATTGGCTTTTGCACTGATCTCCCATTTTTTGGTCATTCTATCTTATCTTTTAGGGCTTTTATTATCAAACTTATAGTTTGCAGGGAAGTATGTTGGACATACAAAGAGTCAAAGTTATAGAACTTTGCCTTTCCTGAAGATTGTCACAATCGAATTCAGGACATCAGTTACACACTGTATCAACTTCATGAAACAGAAAATCCCAATAATAGTGATTTAAACAAAATATAGATTTATTGGTCTCTCATGTAATTGGAAATCTGAAGACAGGCAATCCAAGGCTAGCATATTGGCTCCACACTGTCTTCAGAAACCTGGGCTCCTTCACGTCTTCTACTTCTTTAAAATCAAGATGTTGGTCTCATCTTCATGTATACCAGAAGATTGCTAGTGCTCCAGTCATCATGACTAATTTCCAAGCAGAAAGAAAAGACAGAGCACAAGTCCAATGCTCAGCCAGCTCCTCTTTAACTAGTTTTCCTGGCAGCTCCCAGTGATACCTGCTCCTATCATTGCCCATAACAGCATCATATGATTGCCACCAACTACAAGGGAGCTGGCAGATATAACATTTTAGCTAGGCATATTGCCACTGTTAAAGTCAAAGATCTGTTTGTAAGTAGAGAGAGTGGATACTGGCCAGGCAACGGATAGTCTCCACCACTCAGTGTATGAAGTAAAAGGGAAAACATAAAGTAGAGTTTTGTTCAGGCTAAGACCATGTGTCCAAGAATGTGAGGTTAATGCATGGCCTTGATGGTTAAGTTGGATTTAGACAAATGGTGGTGAGAAGAGGGGACATTTTAAGACCAGTAAGGGCCTGGGCACAAATGAGGTAAAGGTCCTCCTAGCAGGTGTAAAGGACAATGGTGGTAAGGAGGGAGGGACTTCCTCTGCACTTAGAATGTCTTTCTGGGAGTGTAAGGATATGCAGAAACGCAAGGATAGATTGGTTATCCACTCTGTTTACCAATTACTGTTGTCCTCATTAAATCTTCAATAACAACTAACGTTCATTAAAACCAAGTATGTACCAAAGGGTTTGCTAGGTGTTTTAACATATGTTATATCTAATCCTTATAATAACTCCATTTTGGGAATAAGAAAACTGATCTGTCACAGGTTGAATACTTGATCAAGCTCATGCATCTTTTAAATTTAAGATATTCTGACTTGGGTATGTTTTACACCAGACTCCATAGTTTTTTTCCCACAATGTCACAATGTTAAGTTAATTTATTAACTTTGCTTGGGATTGGGGGTGAAGGTGGGTGAGTTAAACTGGTATTCCTTGATATTTTCTAAATTCTAAACTTTAGGGCAACTTTACAAACTCTTCAACTAACTAGCAGTGTGATCACAGACAAGGTACTTAACCTTTCTGGATTTGAATTTGTTTACTTATTACTCAGATACAAAATTAGACAGATACTATAAGAGAAGAACATTTCAGTCCAACATACCTCATCAACACAGACACAAAAATTCTAAAAATTTTAATCCATGATACATAGAACATAATCCAACAATACGTGAAACAAATAAACCAATAAAGCAGGCTTTATTGAAGAAATACTAAGTTGCTTTAACATTTGAAAATCAAGTAACAAACTAAAAAAAGAAAATAGGAAAAAACGTATTATTATATCAATAGCAGCAGAACAGCATTTGACAAAAATCCAACATCCCTTCCTGATAAAAACTCTCAGTAGACTACAAATAGAAATTTCCTTAATCTGATAGAAAATTTATGAAAACCTTATAGCTAACATCATACTTAATGGTAAAAGACTGAATGCTTTTCCTCTAAGATCAGGAACAAGACAAGGATGTTCACTCTCACCATTTCTATTCAACATTGTACAGGCTCTAGCCAGTGCAATAAGGCAAGAAAAAGAAATCAAAGACATCTGTACTAAAAAGGAAAGAGTAAAACTCTTTCTACCCAGATGACATGATTTTTCTATGTAGAAAATCTGATAAAATCCATAAAACGTTACTAGAACTAAGAAATAAGTTTAGCAAGATTACAGAATACAAGATTAATACACAAAATCTACATACTAGCAATCAGAAATTGAAATTGATAAAACAATACCACAGCATCAAAAATATGAAATGATTTAGGATGAATCTATTAAAAGATGTGCAAAACCTATACACTGAAAACTACAAAATACTACTAGTAGATGTTAAGGAAGACCTAAATAAATAGAGAGGCATATCTTTATTCATGGGTCAAAATATTCAATATTGTTATGATGCTAATTTTCCCCAAACTTATGGATAGAATCAATGCAATCCCAATCAAAATTTAAGTAAGCTTGTGTGTAGAAATTGAGAAACTGAATCTAAAATTTATGTTGAAAGACAAAAGACCTAAAATAGCCCAAACAACCGTAAAAAAGAACAGAGGTACAGTACCAATGCTAGCTAGTTCCAAGTCCAGTCATCAGGATATTGTAATATTGATGTAAAAATAGACAAATTAATTAATGGAACAGAATAGGAAGTCCAGAAATAGACACAACACATTGATAAGAAACTGATGTTTGACACAGATTCAAAAACAGTTCAGTGGAGAAAGAGTAGCCTTTTAAAAATTGGTGCTAGGAGCCTGGTGTGGTGGCTCACACCTGTAATCCCAGCACTTTGGGAGGCCGAGGCAGGCAGATTACCTGAGGTCAGGAGTTTGAGACCAGACTGGCCAGCATGGTGAAACTCTAGATCTACTAAAAATACAAAACTTAGCCAGGCATGGTGGCACATGCCTGTAATCCCAGCTACTCGGGAGGCTGAGGCAGGAGAATTGCTTGAGCCTGGAAGATGGAAGTTGCAGTGAGCCCAGATTGTGCCACTGCACTCCAGCCTGGCCGACAGAGTGAGACGCTGTCTCAAAATAAATAAATAAATAAATAAATAAAATAAATAAATAAACAAAATAAAAATGGTACTAGAACAACTGGATATAGAGATGCAAAAAACAAAACAGATAAACCAAACAAAACAAAAATTTTGGCCGTATGTAAAAATTAATTTTAAATGGGTCAGAAACCTAAATGTAAAACTTAAAACTATAAAAATTTTAGAACAAAACATAGGCGAGAATCTTTGTGATCTTGGATTAGGCAAAGATTTCTTAAATATGATACCAAAAAAAGAACAATCCATTAAAAAATTGATAAATTGGGCTTCATAGAATTAAAAACTGCTCTTCCCAAGACACTATTAGGAGACAGAAAAAACAAGAGATTGGGGGAAAAAATCTTTCCAAAGTATATGTTTGATAAAAGATTCGTATCCAAAATATATAAAGTGTCCTAAGCTCAATAATTAAACAACTCAACATTAAATGGGCAAAAGATTTGAACAGACACTTCACCAAGAAAAATACACTCGCTGCAAATAAGCACATGAAAAGATGCTCAACATCATTAACGGCTAGAGAATGCATAATAAAGCCACAATGAGCTACCACTACACAGGATCGGAACATCTATTATTAAAATCTCTGGACTTTCAAGTGTTGACAAGGATGAAGAACAATTGGAACTCGCATAGACTGCTGGTGGGAAGGTAAAGAAAAAAACCACTTGGGAACACAGTATAGTAGTTTCTTAAATGGTTACACCTACCTTATGACCTGGGCATTCCACTTCCAGGTATTTACCCCAGAGAAGAAAAACCATATATGTCTGTACGAATATTTGCACAGGAATGTTCCTAGTAGTTCTAACCAGGAAAATTGAAAGCAGCCTAAATCAAGTGCTGACTAGGTAAACACACGGTGGTATATCCATAAATGGAATACTGCTCAGGAAGGAAGGAATGATTGATGCATGCAAAAACACGCAGGCATGTCAAAGTAACTATGCTGAGTGAAAGAAGCCAGACAAAATCAAGTACATATGGGATGATTCCATTTATGGACGACTCTAGAAAATGCAAACTAAAACAGATTAGTTTTTGGGCTGCGGATGGGGGATAGGTGGGGTGGGGTAGGGCGAGGGAGGAGCAGGAGTGGGAGGAGCTGGGAGATGCAGAGATGGGTTGGGGAGGTCCTCGGGAAAGGGAAGGGAGAGAGGAAGGGGGAGGAAAGGCGAGAGGAAAAGGAGGGGAAGAGGGATGGGGAGAGAGAGAGGCAGAGTGGGAGGGAAGAGGGGCGGGGACCTGTGAGGGCCCAGGGCGCATAGTGGGAGGAGGAGGTGGGAAGGAGGGAAGAAGGGAGGAAGAGGGGAGGGAGAAGAGGTGGCAGGCGGTGTGGGCGGAGCGTGGGGAGGGAGGCCGACTAGCGCCGACTGAGGGGAGAGAATGGGGGAGGGGTAGGATGGGGGCAGGGACAGAGACGGGCAGAGACGGGCAGAGGGCAGAGGGCAGAGGGCGGAGCGGCGCCGGAGCGGGCGTCATGGCGCGGCTCCTCTGGTTGCTCCGAGGCCTGACCCTCGGAGCTGCGCCTCGGCGGGCGGTGCGGGGCCGAGCCGGCGGCGGCGAGCCCTGCACTGGGCCGGTACTGGGGGAGGCAGGTAGGACGCGGGTCCCGCAGGCCCCACCGCTGCCTACGGCTTTCGGCGTCATTTCACCCGCTGCACCCGGGAGCCTAAGGCCGGTCCAGGCCGGGCGCTGCCCTGGCAGGCACCCCTGCCCCCCCGCGCCTCCCCCGCGACCCGAGGGTCTGGGACAGTGGATTGTAAACTTGGTGGCGGCGGGGTGGGGACTGACCCCTGTGAGAATTCGAGGAAATGAACACATGAGCCCCCTAAATGTGCGCGTAATTGTTTTTTTTTTTTTTTCTTGGCGCGGGGAGTGGGGGCATAAATAGGGCTCGGGGTCCCCGACCCCTATCCGGGACTCCAGGCGAAGGCCCGCGGTCTGGGCTGCAGCAGCCCGGCCCGCGCGCCCCTGTGAAGGCCTCCAGTATTTTGCACTGCAGCCCTCTTCGTAGTTCCGCGGGCTTCCTTCCAGCATCTGAGAAGCCGGCAGTTCACACTAGGGATTCCTGGGGTGTTTCCTGCCCTGCTGTCTTCCCGTAAGTGTGTCTAAGAGCCAGGGAGACTGGGTTGATCATTTGTTCCTTCTTTAAGGTGACAGCCATTGTTAATGACTGAGACAGAGACCAGGGCGGGCGAGAGAGAGAGAGAGAGAGAGAGAGAGAGAGAGAGAGAGAGAGAGTGTGTTAGTTTTCTGCTAAATGCCTTTGGATCCTTTCTTGGATGTGGGTACCTGCACACTTCACCAAGCAGGAAGGAGTCACCTCAGGAGACCTGAGCTAGCTACCCCTGTATTTCAGGTCTATTTCAGGGGAACTTAGTGCCCCAGGGGATTGGCTTCCTGGGCGGTTGCCAGACTGACCCACTCTGAATCCAATTTTATATATGTTCATTGAAGATGTTCACCCAACTGATGAAAATGTACCAACTCATTCTGAGCTCTTTTTAGCCCCTGAAGTTTTCAAAATGTAGTGTTAAAAGAATACTTAACTAAATAAAAGCGTTGGCGTTGTGAAATGTTAGCTGATCCAACATGACTTCCAGCTATGGCCTTTCTAACCACTGGTGTCTCTGGCCAGTCAGTCTGATGACCTTTGTGAGCCCACTGTATGCCAAGCATTGTTTTGCTGAGAACCACAGGTAATAGAAACAGATCACAGTTACCGACGAGCTCTCTATAACCCCTTGATACAGGATGGTGGTTATAGCGGTAACTACTTCATGGCTATAATTGCTGCTGTCAGAAGCAGCCTAATGAATTGCCCTGGGATCTGAAGTTCTCCACCAACATTAAAATTTGGCCAGACACCAGTAGGTAACAGGAGCTATGTACCTTATCAGATATCCCTCCTGGGAATTTATTCGAAGGAAATAGTTCAAAAGAAGAACAAGGAGATATATGCAAAGATGCTTTAAGCACTGGTCTCTTATAAAATGGAAACTGGCTGTAACCCAAATCAGTTAAGAAATACTTACGTAAATCATGAAAATTAAATTCAACAAACTTTTAGGGAGTCATTAAAAATGATAAACAGGGAGTAGTTCTGGGATGAAGGGCTTGGGCATGAATAGATGCAGATTTTGAGTCTTGGCTCTCTGTTACTTCCTGGCTCTGTATCTGAGCTCAGGCTGCTATTGCAAAACACCGTGGACTGGGTGACTTAACCGACATTTTCTCACAGTTCTGGAGGCTGGGAAGTCCAAGATCAAGGTGGGAACGGACTTGGTTCCTGATGCAGACCTGCTTCCTGGCTTGCAGTTGACTGCCTTCTCACTCTGCGTTCACGTGACTATCTCAGGAAGGACCACTAGTGCCTCAAGGGAGCCTCACCTTTATGATCTAATGTAAAACTAATAACCTCCCAAGCCCCATCTCCAAATACCATCTCACTGGGAGTTAGGGCTTCAGCATATGGGAGTGGGGAGAGGAGCAGGGAGAATACATAACATTCAGTTTGTAACAATGTCTTTGGACATCTTTCTTGAATTTGGTAAGTTTAAACTTCAGATTTTTTTTTTCCTTCTATCAAATAAGGCTAATGATAATAGTAGGGTGGTTGTACAGAATAACTTTTTAATTAAATATTTTGTTACAATGTTTGACACTTAGCAGGCACACAATGTTAGTTATGATTACATAAATAAGTGTAAAGGACAAAAATGTAGCTACATTTAAGTTAAATCATGGGCTTAGGGAGTGCTGAGAGAGAGAGAAATTGGGAGGGGGGAAATGAGAAGATACTGAAATGACAGTATTTTTCTCCAGTGCTGCAATTTCTCATATGCTCAGAGTGATTTTTTTTTTCCAGGTTGATAAAGAGCAAACTGAAAAAGGAAAGTAAGAAATATTCTGGAGCAAAAACTCTGTTGCTTCAGGAAAATATTCTTTCTAGAGATAACTATGCTAGGAAACCATCCTGGGCATAGGGTTAAAACAGTCCAGGCACTGTGATGGGAGAGACTAGTTCTGCAGATCAGAATGGGCTGGGGATTCTTTTAATACCAGTTTCTGATGAGTTCCATTAGATTCAACACATTATTTATTGAAATGAAGTGGGCTTATGTGTGACAATTGGCAGTATAGCAACTGTGGCCAGGAAGGTTAGCAAAACCCGAAGAAGGCACCCAGTAGGTAACAATAGGACCAATAGTGGATTTCCTTAGGGATGAAAAAGTTGAGGCCCACCCCGTGGAACTTCTGGCCAACAGGATATATGACCTGTGCAAATCACAGCACACAGAGAGAAGGGAACTCCAAGGAATTTGAGTTTATTAAGGCATAATTCAAAGTAAAGTTGTGTAGCTATCTCATGCAATAGCAGCAATGGATAAATGTTTTCATAGTGAAGATAGCAAGAGAATGTAGAGGGAATCTGGAAAATGTGTAGCCCCCAAAGGATGAGCACGTGGTGCAGAGGACAGAAAATACCTGTACACACACACAAAAGGACACAACCAGTGTGGAAACCTCTCTCTAGCCATGGTAGCCAGAAGACTTGACTCATTCCCAAGTGAGAGAACCTATCGTGTATCTAATGCACACGTGCCTAAATTGCTGTTTGATAAAACTGCTCAGAATTTACTCATACTGCAATTTTTATTTAAACTTTGGTTGTTTTCTAAAACCCCAGTGTGTTCATTTGCTAGGGATGCCATAACAATATACCACAGGCTGGGCAACTTAAGCGATGGAATTCATTTTCATACAGTTCTGGAGGCTGGAAGTACAAGACCAAGACTTGTCCTGAGATTTGTCCTGAGACCTCTTTCTTTAACTTGGGGATAGCTACCTTCTTGCTGTGTCCTCAGGTGGCCTTTTCCCTACTGTCCCTTCCTCTTATGAGAACACCAGTCTTATTGGACCAGGGCCCCCTCTTAATGGCCTTATTTTAACATGATTGCCTCTTTAAAGGCCCTGTCTGTAAATGCAGTCACATTTTAAAGTACTGGGGATTAGGACTTCAACATATGAATTTGGAAGTTGGGGGGCAGCGAATATCGTAATTCAGCTCTTAACATCCAGGTCAAAGAAACCTCTAAAAGTGATACAGCATACATATATCCTGACCTGGGTGTACCCAACTGAGCGTTTGTCATTGTGCTATCAAAGCAAAGTCTGTGTGCCCTTGACTGAGCCTTCTAGGCTGGCAAATCTGCAGCTAAATGTTGCATAATTGGTGCTTGAACAAGAACTAGTCTAAACATTATTGCCTACCCACTAAAGCTTTCACACACATTAAAAATGGTGTAAAAGGTCCACATTGATAAGGATTAAAAGAACCATTAAAAATGGTCTTTCATATTGTACTTAGATGAAGGCTTAATTCTTTCGGTTAGCAATTTAAATACTAGTTTTATATTTTAAACTTAAAAAGAAAACATTACAGCGTGGCACTGTATCATGAACCTGTAGTCTCAGCTACTTCGGAGGCTGAGGAAGGAAAATCACTTGAGCCCAGGCGTTCAAGGCTGTAGTGTGCTTTGATCATGCATATGAATAGCCATTGTGCTCCATTCTGGGCAATACAGTGACACCCGGTCTCTTAAAAAAATTAGGGCAGAGGGAGGAGGTGGTGTCTGAAGAACAGATAGTCACTCTCTAATAGGTGTAACAAAATACAGAGGTGTGGGAGAGGGAGCTGGGAACCCAGACAAACTCAAGCCTTAGGTTCAAAGCGAAGGAAGTACCTGCTTTAAAACAGGTACTTGAGAGTCCCACTGACTTTTAGCCCTTCTCTAATTCCCACTTTCCAGTGTCAGCTACTATACTGTGCTGCCTGTTGAGTCACACTAAGGACAGTGCTTCCAGGAGACAATAGGGTTTTTTTCTAAGCCCATTCCACTTCCTCCCTGAAAGGAGATAGGCAGATAAAGCCAGCTTCACAGACTGTAAATTCCAACCTTAGTACCTGAAGTTGGTCCTCTTACCTATCCACAGGAATAATGCAAGATCTTTGCCACAGCCAAGAGGAGGGTGTTTTATCATGATGCTGTTTACTCCTTTCCTTGACAAATGTCAGTGATAGCCAGAGATTAGGTCTCACAAATTCCCCCACGGGACCAGAGTTTAAATATGGGAGGAGGAACCCAGGACATTCACTCTTACTAGCAAAGCCTGTTCTTGCTCTTTTGAGTGCCTCTGGCTAAAGCATTCCCTTTTTTCATCATTTGGGGTGGCCAAAAAGAGATAGGATCCTGAACAGAAGTGGCAAAAAAACAGACAGGAGGAGGCTTGTATTAGTTTGTTTTCAAAGTGCTATAAAGAAATACCAGAGACTGGGTAATTTATGAAGGAAGTTTAATTGGCTCATGGTTCCACAGGCTGTACAGGAAGCATGGCTGGGGAGGCCTCAGGAAACTTACAATCATGGTATAAGGTGAAGAGGAAGCAAGCACATCTTACATGGTCAGAGCAGGAGGAAGAGAGAGGGGGAGGTGAACTTTTAAACAACCAGATCTCTCAATAACTCACTATCATGAGAACGGCACCAAAGGGCCCCCATGATTTAATCACCTCCCACCAGGCCCCCACCTCCAACACTGAGGATTACAATTTCACATGAGATTTGTGTGGGGACACAGAGCCAAACCATATCAGAGGCAGTCACTTGTTCCATTGTGACAAGATGGAAAAAGGGTAGATGTAGGTATTGTTAAGTGTGATGGTTTGGTAGCAAGAAGGTTTGTGGCTTTTGATTTTGCAAAAGTTGAATCTGTTGAGAGGAAGGGGAGATGTAGTAGAGACCATGGTTTGAGGAGAATGGAAAAGGTTTTTTTTTTTTTTTAAATTTCAGTAGGTTTTTGGGGAACACGTGGTGTTTCGTTACATGAATAAGTTATTTCTGTAATGGTTATATATCAGATTTTGGTGTATTCATCACCCGAGCAGTGTACATGGTACCCAATGTATACTCTTTTATTCCTCATCCCCCCTCACAGCCTTTCCCCTCTGAGCCCCCAAATTCTATTGTATCATTCTTATGCCTTTGCATCCTCATAGCTCAGCTCCCACTTATAAATGAGAACGTACAATGTTTGGTTTTTCATTCCTGACTTACTTCACTTAGAATAATAGTCTCCAATTCCGTCCGGGTTGCTGTGAATGCCATTATTTTGAATGGTATTCCTTAGTATATATATACACCATCATTTCTTCATCCACTAGTTGATTGATGGGCATTTGTGTTGGCTCCATATTTTTACAATTGCAAATTGTGCTACTATAAATGTGTGTGCAAGTATCTTTTTTCATATAATGACTTCTTTTCCTCTGGGTAGATACCCAGTAGTGGGATTGCTGGATTAAATGGTAGTTCTACTTTTAGTTCTTTAAGGAATCTCCACACTGTTTTCCACAGTGGTTGTACTAGTTTACATTCCTGAGAGTGGAAAAGGTTTAAAACACCCATTGCAGAGAAATGGGAAGACAGCTGACTGGGGAAAGATAATACTCACCATGGTTCACTGAAACCCCAGTGAGATGAGTAACTTTGAGTTTATAAGGACAACTCTCTCCCCAGGTGGGGGATTTTCTCCAGTAGTGCTTGATGGTACAGGGGTGGCCATGGAGAAGATAGTTTTTTAAATAAGCTTTTTTATTTTGGAATAATTTTAGATTTATAGACAATTTATAAAAATAGTGCAGAGTTCTCAAAACCCCTCACCCAGGTCCCCCTGGTTATCCACTGACACCATCATAGTACATTTGTCAAAACTGTCTCTGTCTTTCCTTGTTTTTCATGACCTTGACAGTTTTGGGGAGTACTCGTGGGGTTCCTTGTAGAATGTCCCACAGTCTGGGATTGTTTGATGTTTCTCCTCACAATTAAACTGGGATTATGGGCTATTGGGAAAAATCTCATGGAGATGAAGTTTCTTTCTAGATTCATGTGCTCTTCCCCATCTCTCTTCCCAACACTGAGACACACACACACAAACATACACTCACACACTCACACTTATTTATATTTCTCTTGCTAAACCATTTGAGAGTTGCAGACATCATGACACTTTACTGCTAAATATTTCAGCACGTTTCCTAAGACCAAAGACATTTTCCTACAAAACCGCAAGACGGTTTTCCTCTCAGGAAATTGAGCACCCTTGTCTAATACATAGCTGATATTCAAATTTTCTACCATATACCAACAATGTATTTTATAGCTTTTATTTTTTTTCTGGGATCTAGAATTTAATAAAGGGTCACACATTGGTTTCAGTTGTGGAGAGTCCTTGCTTTCCACAGGAAAGTGAAAATTTCCCTCAATTTTCACTTATGTGATTGTTTCTTCATGAAACACAGATTGAATGTTTTCAGCAGGAAAACTTTACTGGTGATGTTGTGTTCTTTCCAGAGCATCACATCAGGAAGATAGGATGTCACCTGTCCCGCTGTTGGTGATGCTAGCTTAGCCTACTTGGTTAAAGTAGTGGCATTTTTCTTCTTTATAATTAATAAACTCTGGGGTTGTATTTTGGGAAGATGTGACTATTCTGTTCCCCAGCAGTCGAAAGGGGTTTTGGAATCCTCTGATGATTTTTACAAAATGGTGATTTAAAAATTTCTATAATATCTTCTTCATTTATTACTTGACATTCTGCAGGATAACTCTGAAGGCCATTGAGCAATAGTAATTATCACATAAATACATTTTGTTTTGTCCCCAAAGTGTCAAATACCCCAAAAATCATGTGTTAACTGAGGTATATTCCATAGGAATTTCAGATACATATTTCCATAGTAAAAAGAAACCCCTGTAGTCTTATAAACAGTATATTTAATAAAAGATACCTCCTAGGGGAGCCCTTGTGTAAAAATAATAACAGTAATAAAAAGAAAGAAAAAAAAACTTTTAATATATTAAATACTTTAAAAACCTTTTAGCAAAATGTAAGCAATCAGCTATATCATCACTGGAAATGCAGTATTGTTCGGTATTATAAACTGGAGAGAAGATAAGTCTTTTCTTGCCGAAGGACAATTTAGGACTTTTTTTTTGTAACCTTAAATGAATTTCAACTGTAACTTCTGACATGTTTGATATATAGATGCTGGCATCACGGGCATTTAACATTTCATCTTCAGTGCCATAGTCAGATTACTAACCCTTTGGGCCTCTGTTTCTCATCTGTAAACTGAAGAGTTGGACACATTACAAAATCCTTTCCAATTCTTAATGTTGGATGATTAAAAACATTTATTATAGGAGTTGGACTTCCTACTCCCTTTGGCTAAAGAGAGTATTGCTCTAGTTACTTGGTTTATGCTCATGTGAATAAATGTAGTAATATAGATGCCAAGGCGAGCAGGAAAGAGGAAAACAAAATATGGACAAAAACCATGAAGCATCATAATAGATTATTGTAGGTCTGTTTCCCTTTCAGGACTATATGCTATGGGAGTTTCTTCTTTTGTTCCATGCAAGAAGATTTTTAAAATAGAGACCTCCCTTGACAAAGAAAATCAGAGCTATCCTTATAAACCAGCAAGGGAGAAGAGTTTAATAATCGACTAGCTCATGGTTCTTTTCTGGCCAATGCCTCAACTACTTCCGGCTAGATCCTGACAGCAACTGCTCCTCTGAAAGTCATCAGAGAAGAGAGGATCAGTTTCTATCCTTAGGTACCTGAAGGGAATTATTCCACATTCTTTCATATTTCAGCTGCCTCTTTCACTTCTATGCCCCAGGAGGACTAGAAAACTGGCTCTCTACTTCTTATTAATTTCTTATTAAATTAAATAGTCAATGAAGGCATTAGCCTTCTGGTCCCCATGAAGAATAAACTCGTGGGAGAGAGAAGAAGGGACTGGATTATTCTGCTGGGTGACAGTGCACTTAGGGAAAAAAGCCAAGGAAGAAAAGTCCATCAGGTGTTTTTGTTTTAATTTTTAAAACTCCTGTTTAACAATACAGGGTCTCTTGCAACGTGTGAGCTGCCTCTTGCCAAGAGTGAGTGGCAAAAGAAACTAACCCCAGAGCAGTTCTACGTCACGAGAGAAAAAGGAACGGAACCGGTAAGCTAAGCTGGTTTACAGTTTTCTGATTGCGTGTGTTGGCAGTGAGGGGGCAGTTGGAATAGGTCCAGCTATGAAACCCAGCTGCCCAACAACACTCCTCTTCCATTGTCCCCTTCTCGGAGTGTTGATATTCATCAAGTTGTAGAAACCTGAAACTCTTCCCTGGACACATCATCTCTATTCTGACTCCTAAATAACCTTCCTGTCATTTCAATTCTGTGCACCGCTATCACCTCCCCTCGGGGCCAAGTCACTGTCACCTCTGCGCATGGCCATTCTTGCTCCAGCCAACCCATTCTCCACACTGCAGCCAAAGAGTTCTTTGGAAAACACAAATCTGACCATATCACTCCCCAGCTCAAAACTTTCGGTGGCTGCCCAGTGCTTTCAAGGAAAAAGAAAAGTATGAGATGACTAATAAGGTCCTAACGGCCCCTGGCTCCCACCCCATCCTCAAATCCAGCCATCTTCCCTCTTGACCTAGTACTTTGGCCACACCACCCTTGAGCTCTCACACACCCTGGGCTCCCTTCTCTCTTAGGGCCTTTGCACCCGGCATTCCTTCTTCTCTTCCATCATCCCTCCCCACACCCTCCACCCATTCATTCAGACCTACCTTGTAGCTCTCAGCCCAAATCTCACTTTCTCTGGGAAACCTTCTCCTAGCCCCCAGCGAGGCTTGCTTCTAGCAGAACTCTTCCTTCATAGCATTTGCCATCGCTGCTATAACCCCTGTCACCTAATGTGGTGGCTGGCCATAGTAGGCATCCAAAAAAATCAACTTTTGTGAATGTTGAATGACTGCCAGGTAAACAGTGCAAACATTATTTAAACTGCATTCGGCAGTCTCGGCTTTCATTCATTTTCTGAGAAAACAACCCTCAGTGGTTCCTCATTATAACATCACTTTTTACAGCACTGCATTTATCTGTGTGTCTGTGTGTGTGTGTCTGTGTGTGTGTGTACAAGTTTCTGGGGTACATGAGAAAATTTGTTACACATATATAATGCATAGTAATCGAGTCAGGGTATTCAGGGTGTCTGTCACCCGAATACAATGCATTTTTGTTAAATGTCATCCACCTACTCTGCTGTCAGACACTGAGCATATTCCTTTTCTCTTACTGTATGTTTGTGGCCTTTAAGCCACTTCTCTTCATCCTCCCCCTACCCTCTGCTCACCCTTCCCAGGCTCTGTTATCCATTTTTCCACTCGCTACCTCCATGTGTTCAAATTCTTTAGCTCTTACATATAAATGAGAGCATAGTGCCGCATTTCTTAACCAGTGGTCTTAGACCCAAATATAGCTGCTGGAATGTAGCTTTTCTGAATTGAACTTTGTTATTAGATATTTTTTACTAGTGAAGCAGATCTCACAGAGTGGACCCCAGCCCTGTGGCTTCAAGCACAGTAGAGTATGAATGTTTTTTCCTTTGTCAGCACCTGCAAAACTCATGTCACTACCCACGTGCACTGCCATTGTAATCACGGTGTCACCCTCAGTTTCTCCAATGCTAAAGTCATCAGAAGGACCAGCACATCCCAATAGAGTCTCCTGAAATGCTGGTATTTTTGAAAACTTCCTGTAGGTGGGATTTTACTAAAGCCCTCGTTGGGAAAGAGACTACATTAGCCATTTGTGTAGATTGCACAAGGGAACCACATGATACTCTGTGAGCAGTTGTATGTATTCCCAGAGTATTCTAAGCCAACCCTAATTCTCAGGTGCAGAGCCAGGCCGGGCTTGGTATGTAGAGAGAACCTAGAGATGAGCTGCCAGATGTTTAGGAAAATAAATATGTGGGCTTCTCAAACAGATGGTGCAATATACTCTCTGTATTTGGCCATTTGACAAAATGAGCATCATTCATTATTTTAACTAATGTTATAAATCCCTTTCCATGGATCCATTTCCACGTTTAACTTCTTAGAATATTGCAGAAATGTAAGCCTTCATTAGCTTTGTTCACCTAAGAGAAGAGAAATGAAACATCGAAGGTGTCTCTTTGGTGACTCTAAATTAAAATTCAGTCCCACATGGTTTTTCTTGGGCAACAGTAATACGCTAGCACTCTGCTAGACCAATGAATAAATTTACAGGCTGGCTGAGCAATAACCGAAAGTCAAGTATCAATAGAAGGGAGGTTTTGTGCGGGTCATTCTCTGTCTACTCTCCAGATCCACTCTCCACGGGATTCCCCTGCTCTGAGCTCTAGGAAGAGTGAGCAGTTCCTCTTCCCCGCAGCTATTGATTCAGTTTAGCCAGTGGGAGACACCAGTGAGATCTAAAAGTGGGATGGAGAAATCACTAGGGCCCAGCATTCTCTCTGTGGGGCTGCAGGTTGGCAGTGGCTGTGTTCCTGTATTGCAGGTGGCAGCTCTTGCAGGCAGCCCTCCCCTGCAGGTGCAGCCTCACCAGGTTCTGGCCACTCCCTCTTCCTCTGTCCCACAGGTCTAGTGGAGGCCATGGCTTCTCAAAGTCATTAGCCTAGGAGGCTTTGCCCTCACTTGTGGATTTCCATTGGCCCTGTCCGCACCTTTGTAAACAGTCCTGTGTGAAGTTATCCGTAGTCATCCCTCTTGAGTGCGTCACCTGTTTCCAGCAGGTGTGTTGTATTGACAAGATGGAATGGCAAACTGCCGTTGGTCCAGCAGACCTTGCAATCCCAGGGGAATCTGGAACGTCATTCTCTCTCTGACCCTGGCCCCTCCCTGTGCAGCCAGGCATTTCAGTTCTCTCTTCTAAGTATTCTTGAATCTCTTTCTTTTATTTCCACTGCTCTGCCTGAGCAGGAGCACACTCCAGGCCTGCATGTGTGAGGGACATTGGATTGCTCTCTGCCTTTGGTGGCATCTTGCCCCATTCCAGCTCATTCTTTACCTGAATGTCAAGTGATCTTTCTAAAAACCAACTCCAATCAGTCGTCCACCCAGTTTACAAGTTTCCAGTAGCTTCACATTTCCAGTAGGACACAGTTTAAGCTCTTCGTCACGATCTAACCAACCCCAGCTGGCCTGGTCTCACCCGCCTTCTGGCATCCTCTTTCTCCATCCTCCTCTTTGCCCTCTTCTCTCATGTGGGCCTTGCCCAAGGTGTTCTGCCTGCCTGAAATACTCTTCCATTTCCTCATTCAAAAGTCAGCTTAGTGTTGGCATTTTTCTATAATAAACAACAATCAGTTGTACAATTTAGAATAATAAAAGGTTAAGAAATAAAAAGACTCCCCCCCACCATCTCAGATAATATCTGATACAGACAGCCTTTGTGGAAACTCCCTTCATAGTGAAGGGTACAGCGCTACCCGAACTCCATGCCATCTCTATCATAGCTGTCACCACATGGTATAAATTGTCAGCTCACATGTGTCTTCCTCCCACTTAAGTAGCAAATTCTTTGAGTGCAGAAACTGTTTTGCTGCCCACCTCTGCAACATTAGCACCCAGCTCAACCTGGGTTTATATTAGATTATCAGGTAAATATTAGAAATGAGATAGAAGCTGAGTTTAACCCTAAATAAGTTACAGGACTTGTATAAAATTGGAGAGGGAGGGCACATCAGGAAGCTAGGCAAGGAGAGAGTGGGTAGATGTCATTTCAGAAACTATGTTGGCTGAGTATTGCTTTTCATTGATTTTTTTTTTCCTTGAGATGGGGTTTTGCTCTTGTTGCCCAGGCTGGAGTGCAATGGTGCGATCTCGGCTCACCACAACCTCCGCCTCCTGGGTTCAAACAATTCTGCTTCAGCCTCCCGAGTAGCTGGGATTACAGGTACCTGCCACTACACCCAGCTAATATTTTGTATTTTTAGTAGAGATGGGGTTTCACCATGTTGGCCAGGCTGGTCTTGAACTCCTGACCTCAGGTGATCCACCCGCCTCGGCCTCCCAAAGTGCTGGGATTACAGGCATGAGCCACCGCACCTGGCCTTCACTGATTTTTTAATTTTTATTTTGCTTACTGTGATAGCAGTTTTCTGTCACTTCCTCTGTCCAACTGCCCCCCTGCAATAATGAGATTATGTTTTGAGTCTTCCCAGGCTGTCTGGATCCTATGAAAAGGCTTTTCTAGATCAGCCTTGGAACTGGCAGTCCTGTTTTGCATGCGTGCATCTTCAGCCCAGGTGGGAAGGATGGGAAGCTTCCTCTTTTTTTTTTTTGTTTTTGAGATGGAGTCTCGCTGTGTCGCCCAGGCTGGAGTGCAGTGGCACAGTCTCGGCTCACTGCAACCTCTGCGTCCCAGGTTCAAGCAATTCTTCTGCCTCTGCCTCCCGAATATCTGGGATTACAGGCATGTGCCACCACATCTGGCTAATTTTTGTATTTTTAGTAGAGATGGGGTTTCACCATGTTGGCCAGGCTGGTCTTGAACTCCTGACTTCAGGTAATCCACCTGCCTCGGCCCCCCAAAGTGCTGAGATTACAGGCATGAGCTACCATACCGGGCCAACTTCCTCTTCTTTACAGCTGCCAACTAGTGCCAGTTTTGGGAGCAGGCATTTGAGGGGACTGGCCATAAAGGACCAGCTCACTACCATTCAGATTTCTGCAGCTAAGTTTAGGGTTTTAAAGAAGGAAAACATCCAAGTGTGCCCAGATGGTAGGCTCAGTAGGTTAATTTGAAATTGTCTGTCATGCAGCTCACTGAAAATGTGCTGTTAAACTACCACAGGGAATTTGGATGTTTGACCTGTGAATGTTTTGAGTTGGGAAGCCTGGAGGGGTCTGAAGATTTCCTGAGTCAGCTTTGTCACTTGATGAGCTGTTCTGTGCTTTGGCTTTCCTCTGGCCCATAGGAGGGGATGGTGCCTGCTGCCAGGCCCTGTGATAGTGGATCTTCATAGTCAGCTTATGCAAGGGTTGATTTTCTTTAATTTTCTTTGACAGAGGAGATGACAAAAGAAATTGGGCAAAAATGGTCTTTAAAAAAAAGTCATCAGCCGGGTGCAGTGGCTCATAGCAAGTGCCTGTAATCCCAGCACTTTGGGAGGCTGAGGCATGCCGATCACTTGAGGTCAGGAGTTCGAGACCAACCTGGTTAACACGGTGAAACTCCCTAAAAGTACAAAAATTAGCTAGGCTTGGTGGCATGCACCTGTAGTCCCAGCTATTCGGGAGGCTGAGACAGGAGAATCACCTGAACCCAGGAGGCAGAGGTTGCAGTGAGCTGAGATCATGCCATTGTACTCTAGCCTGGGCAACAGAGTGAGACTTCATCTCAAAAAAAAAGAAAAATCAAGTTTGAGAAATAACATTTAAACAAATATTGACTTGGCTCATTCATTGACTTGTCTCCTGTTCTCCTCTCAGAATACCTCTGAAAACTTGCAAACCCTGTAACTCACAATGAACACAGTAATTTCATCTAAGTAGTAACCTGGGTTGGTGGGGGGAGAATCTAGCTCATTATTTAACATTTATTAAGTACACTGTGTCCTAAACATTATGTGAAGCATATTAAAGGCAAAATCCCTGATCTCACTGAACTATGCTTTTTATGCATTTATATTCTGTCTTTAACTGGAGATTTCAAAGTATGTTAGACAGTAGACTGGATTCCTGTTGTATTAACTCTTCTAAAAGGGAGAACGAAATCTCACACAATCACAGAGGACAAGACTCTGTTCTCTTGCTTTTTCACCAACTTTGATGCTCTTGGATGAAAAGTCCTGTATGAATACAAAGATTATCAATGTCATAATTTGCATATTGGGTGCAATAAAGCCCCGGCTGTAGATACATCTGCAGGCTGCTTCATTGGGTGCATTATAATTTTCTCTCTGGCGTTATTTGCACTTCGTCAAATTAGTACAGAAATTCCTTGATTTGGGGACTTACCCAGGATTTAAATCTGCTGTATCATCTCCTGCCAGTAGTATGAGAAATCTGAACGTGACATATCTAATTTACTTTCAGCCTTTCAGTGGGATCTACCTGAATAACAAGGAAGCAGGAATGTATCATTGCGTGTGCTGTGATACTCCACTCTTCAGGTAAGATAAAGAATCGAGAGCTACGGAAGGAGAGCAAACCTCCAGGTTCTTACTGCTGTGTTTCATTTGAGATCTTGGATAAATAAATACCCATAATACCCATTTTGTTTTTTAAATTGCCCTTCTCATTTTGCATTGTTGCTGTAAGGAGAGCTATTCATATGAGATACTTGCCTGTCTTGACTTTTATTTCTAGCATTTAGAGCCATTAACAAGACTTCTTAGCTTATATTCTTCCTTCCTCTATCCTCAAGAAATAGCAAGGAAATAAAACTTGGTGGGTACCTTATGATAAAACTATTAGAGTTTTTTTTTTTTAGAGGGAAAGTATTTAAAGAAATCTAAACCATGATTATATTTGCTGGGCCATGTGATTAAAACTCTCTCTCTCCCAGGGAAAATGGGTTTATAATTTAATTTAGGAAATGTAGAATTTTATGAGGATAGATTCCCCACAATGCTTGACAGTAGTGAATACCATACCCTCTTCTATATAGCTAAAAGTAAATTTAATTGTCCCTTGATTTCAAAGCCTCTTTTAAGTCAATCAGGATCTGAAATCTCTCAACAAAGGCTTTTTTGTTTAGACATGCAGGAAACAGTCTTAAAAAAAAGTAGATTCGATGGAGAAGAAAGGAAAATATCTTTGAAGTCCTATTTTTCAGAACTTCAAAGATGTTTTCCTTTCTTTTGCATCAACCCTAAATTAGTTTAGAATAAAATATAAATCAAGCCAGCTCTGTGCATCACCCATTAGGCAGTGCTTCCTTCTGTCCTCTGGGCTTTGAGCAGTCTGGGCCTTCCTGCCCGACTGGCTGCTAATGTGGGCTGCGTTAGGAAGCCGGACCCGCCTGCAAGGATGAGGAGCGATTAGCATCGATTTTCCTCCATGCTCACAGATGGGCAGGCCTTTGCCCAGATGCATTCACATTGGCATGGGGGAAACTAGAAGGAGGTTAATTTTTACACAGTAAAATGTGGGACTCAGGTTTCTGAGACAATAGTTATTTCTTGACGTTTGGTTCTGTTAAAGAGGAGAGGTAGGACTTTGAGATGGCCCATGAACTTTAAGCCATAGAACCATGCTGCCAGCGTGTCAAAGGCTCCCTTGTTACTGCAGGCACCAGGCAGTGCTCTGTCTCCCTCTTCACACAGTGAATACAGAAGATAAATCATCCTTGCAAGAGCATTCTCCTAAATCATAGTCTTCACTCTTCCCCTTCCTTGATGTTCCGGTTTCTGCATCTGAAAAAGAAGGGGCCTTCTTCCCTTCCTTTCACCTTGCAGGCTTAGTTGTAGTGTCAGAATACTGGAACCAGGAGGGTCCTGAGTCCAGAGCACAAACCTCTGTCCAGTAGAACTTCCTGTGGTGATGGAGATGTCTGTATCTGGCCATGTGGTAGCCGCTCATCACATATGCTTGTTAAGCACTCAAGATGTGGCTAGCATGGCTGAGAAGCTGACTTTTTCAATTTAATGTTAATTAATTTAAACTTAAATTTAATGTTAATTAATTTAAACTTAAAAGGCCACATGTGGCCAGAGGCTACTATATTAGCACAATGCTAGTTCAAATTAAGGAAGTTAAGTGACCAACCCCAGGTCCTGGAGGTTGTGAAAGAGTCAAGACTAATAGGAAAACCAGCCGATTCTCCAAAAGCCCACTGACCAAGTAGCCAGTTTAAGGGACTGCCAATTCACCAACCTTATTTGTTTTTGTGTAACCATTTAGTTTCAGTTGAAAAGTTTCCATTTTGCATTCTTAAAGACTTCTGAGTTTGTTTCTGTTCTTCTTTCTTGTTGCTGCTACTGCAGCTGAAGGAAACAATATATTCCTGAAGATTATTTATGTTCCAGAATATACTGTTCTTAAAGATGCACTCATTTATGGGAGAGGCAGTAGAATGGTTAAGATTGCCAAGGTATATATCCTGGCCCCATTGCTGTGTGACCTTGAGCAAATTTCTTAACCTTTCTGATTTCCTCACTTCTAAAATTAAGATAATAGTAACTAATTCATAAGGTTGCTGGGAGGATGATCTGAGTCATGAGTTAATACATGAAAAAGCATAGAGCGATGCCTGACATGCCTGACTCAGGCCAGGCAGTTGCTGCAAGTTAGTAATGATTTTTTTTTTTTTTTTTTTTTTGAGATGGAGTCTCGCTCTGTCATCCAGGCTGGAGTACAGTGGCGTGATCTCGGCTCACTACAACCTCGGCCTCCCAGGTTCAAGCGATTCTCCTGCCCCCCGAGTGGCTGGGATTACAGGCGTGTGCCACCACGCCCGGCTAATTTTTTGTATTATTAGTAGAGATGGGGTTTCACCATGTTAGCCAGGATGGCCTCGATCTCCTGACCTCAGGTGATCCGCCCGCTTTGGCCTCCCATAGTGCGGGGATTACAGGCGTGAGCCCCCGCACCTGGCCATAATGACGTGTTCTTAAGCAACAGAGCCCTCTTAGGGCTGTATACATGAATGTGCTTTTGATCCTGAGGAATTCTGGAAGATATATTCTAATTAATGAGAATATACAAATGCAGACTATATTCCTGAGCCTTCTTCCTGTTCAAGAGGAGTTTTAGAAATACATTCTTGTTTTGCCTCTCATTTTTCTTCTCTTTCTGTCTCTGGTCTCCAGTTTCTATAGTAGGAAGCAGAGGTACAGAAAAAAAAAAAATTCCTTCAAATGTTTGTGTAGAATGAAAGTGAAGGGAAAGTTGGTCAACCAAAACTAAGTAGTTCTTTTAACAAGTAAATGCAGGGCCGGCTCCTTTGAGCTGCCTGCTCCAGCTCGGCTGCTTCCTGCCTGGGACCCCCTTCGTGCTGTGCTGGCCTCCTGGGATCTGCTCAGCCCCACTATTGCTAATTGAAATTCCACTTATTTTTGGATCCCAGATTTACCCTGAAACCTCCTCTGATAGCACACACTGTGGGGTTTTTTAAAAAATCTGCTTCAAATTCCTATTTATCAGTATCACACAATTTAGGACCTAATTATTCTCCTATTGGTTCAAGTATTTTATTTAGTTAAGGAGAGAAACTTGATTAGCTCTTGAGCCCCTTGGCCATCTTATCCTTCTTGGACAAGCCTCATGGAAGTTGCTACGGGTTGAATTTTGTCTCCCAAAAAGACATGTTGAAGTCTTAATCTCTGGAAACTGGGAATGTGACCTTATTTGGAAATAGGGTGGCTGCAGGTATAATTAGTTTAGATAAGATCATATTGGAGTGGGGTCAGCCCTAGTTCCAAAATCACTGCTGTCCTTCTAAGAAGAGAAGTCGTCCAGACAGAGAGGAGACAGCCATGTGAAAACGGAGGCAGAGGTTGGTGATCTGCAGCTATAAACCAAAGATTGCCTACCTTAGAAGGTAGGAAGAGGCAAGGAAGGATTCCCTAGATGCCTCAGAGCCCTGCGGACACCTTGACTTTGGACTTCTATCCTCCAGATTGTGAGAGAGTCCCACCCATTTTGTGGTATTTTGTTGTAGCCACCTTCAAACAGATACTTAGATGCTCCATAAGTACTTCTTGATTGGTTGATTAATAATATCCGTCCTGCTGCTTAGAAGCCATAGCAGTGTTGGGACTATCAGAAGCTGTGGTTATGGGCTGGGCATGGTGGCTCACGCCTGTAATCCCAGCACTTTGGGAGGCCAAGGTGGGTGGATCACTGGAGGTCAGGAGTTCGAGACCAGCCTGACCAGTATAGCAAAATACTGGCTTTTCTAAAAATACAAAAATGAGCTGGGCGTGGTAGCACACGCCTGTAATCCCAGCTACTGGGGAGGCTGAGGCAGGAGAAGAGCTTGAATCCAGGAGGTGGAGGTTTCATTGAGCTGAGATTGAGCCACTACACTCCAGCCTGAGTGACAGAGTAAGACTCCATCTCAAAAAAAAAAAAAGAAAGCAGCTGTGATTATGAAATCACTGTGGAAATGTGAGGGAAGTGGCTGCAATTTCTTGAGCACTTACATGCCCGACACTGGGCTCCAATGCTTTGCAAACAATCCTCACCTTCCAATAAGGAGCTATGAAAACCCCCATTTAACAGATGTGAAAACTGAGGCTTAAAGAATTTAACTAACTTGCTCAAGGTCACTTATCTAGTAAGTCATAGTGCAGGAATTTGGGTTCCACTGGAGCCTGTACAGTGCACTCTTCTTGAGAGTGGAAAGCACCCCAGCAATGAAGGAGCCCTCTGGACATGTGGCAGGTGCCATGTCCAGGCTCTTCATGTGCATCATTTCATCAGACCTCTTGGCAGCTCCCCATAGTGCTGTTATTATTCTCATTTCATGTGAGGAAACTGAGAGGAAGATGAAATAACTTGTCCAGGGTTCCGCGGTTTACAGGTAGCCAGCCAAAATATGACCTCACAGTTTTGGACTCCAGAGCCCACATTCTTCACTAGCTGAGCTTCCATTAAGCCACGTGGGCAGCACCGTTGACATAGGTGCCATCGCCTTCTGGTGCCTGCTTTCTGAATTACAGGTGTAAGTTTCTCAGAAGACATAACCAGTCTCTGATGGTGATCCCGGCCAGTGTAACTCATGAGTTCCCTTTCCAGAGCCTTGTTGCCAGCCTCATCTGCCAGACTTACCGTCATTCTCCTCATCATCCTATAGTTGTTGGAATGAGTTTGGTGCACAGTTTTTGAGAGCTTCTGCCTCTCCAAATCAGAGACCTTTAATCAAAGGTATCTGGGTCAAGAACACTTTCTAGCATGTGTTGCCACACTCCTAGGGACTCCAGACTCTCATTTCGCTAACTTGGAATGAAGTGACATTGTCCCCCACTGCCACTTCCTCTCCTCCTTCTCTCCTTCCTTCTCCCTTTCTTCTTCCACATAAGCCTATTGGGAAAGTGTTTATTAAAATCTATTGTGGGATCACATATTTCACGATCATAAATCTTCTTAAAATAAGAGGAAACAGAGCCTGATACTAGTTCACGTTTTACATAACGTCCTGATGTCTTATGCACCATGGGTAACCAAG